TTCTCCTCCAGGCTGGCCAGGGCTGGACTCCTGTGGGCCCCACAGCGCCTCAGCTCTTCATGCAGGGCTGTGGTTAGTTGCTTCTTCTGCTGCTGCCGCTAGGCATGTGCACTGTGTTGCTACCTCACCTCTTCTGTGACTGTGGCAACTCCAAGTCCTGCACAATGTAATCATCTCAGGGCCAGCGAAAGATTGAAGATGATTCTTGATCATGAAATGATTCTGGCCTCATTAGATTTGGCCTGAGTATTTACATAGGTGCAGCAAGAATGTTAATTTAGCATAAAAGCCTTCTTTAAGTTTGCTTTGCTAGAGGCTTCCATAGGAATCTCAGGATGGACTTCTAAAGTCTATTGCTCGCTGTCTTGAGGCTAAGAACCATGTCCAAGAAACTCTATCCACTGGATTTCATCTGCAATGCCCCCGTGAGTTAGGTGACTTCCTCTTTTCTCAAAGTTCTCTACACATCTCTAGGCTCATGGCCTGCCATGGGAGTGACCTCTTTAAGGCTGGACCCTGAAAGCCAGGCACCAGGAGAGCTTTCTCAGCATTGTCTCCATAAACTCAACATTAATTCCATAAAGGTGACTGGTCAGGCACTGGTGACAGCTTCTCCAGGTTGGCAGAGAGCCTCCTCTCTTGCCTCTGTGGTCATGTCCACGTGGAGGGGGTTGGCAACGAGGTTGCTGCTGGCATGGGCAGCCTGTTCTCCTCAAGGCAGCTGCCTGGTGGTAGTGTATTTGGAGCAGCTGGGAGGCAGGGGGTATGATTCCCCTCTCCCAACTTCCAGAGAGCCCCTTCACTTGCCCCTGGTTGTCTGAAACCGTTCCCAAAAAGGACAGGAGGAGCTCAGATCAGTAGTCCATAGTGCTTCTGGTTGGAAATTATTTGGTCAAGTCCCTTCTGGAGAGAATCTTTAGAAAGCTTCCAAAAATAATGCAGCAGGAATATGAAACAGAAGAGGGAGGACCTGTAATCACTGCTTCAGTCTTCAAGACATAACAATTTTGAATTTGAGCCTCTTTCTACTACCATTCCGATTCCTGAATACAGGCCATCATATGATTGCTTTTATGTACTGTTGAAGAAATCTTTGCCAAATCCAAGGAAATCTTCCTGCCGAATCTGTGGAAGAAGCTTTATTTCACAGACAAGAACATTAGACCGTTGAGCTGTGTCTCAAAATTGAGTAATTAAAGCAGTACGTTAGAAAAAAAGAAAAACATGCAAGCAGGAAGAAAATATTGCAAATACAATGGTAATTTGGAGCAGTGAAATGCTGCCCAATTGGGAAATAATACATAGTAGGAGGAAGGCTGGAGAATTGAGGTGCAGAGGTTGCCCTCTAGTGTTCATGATGAAGTTTGGAGCCTTGCTGTAGGAAGAGAACTAAATACCACTCCTGAACTTTATGAAGTATTTCTCTCCAAAGGAAAGAAATGGTGGAAAAGCTTCAGTAAAACACGGTCTCTTTAAACACATCATTATTTAAATGCAGGAGGTGTATCTGTTGATGATACAGATGCCAGTTTGGAATTGAGCTGGACATGTCCGATGCATCTCCATCTCTCTACACCTTGCACAAGGATGACCCATATTATGATGCTTTACACAGCATCTTGGGGGCCATAATCATGTTACAGACTTGATGTGAATTATGTCCAAGGGATTTCCTTCAGTGAGGCAGGACACATTCTCAATTAGGAAGAGGTAGATGCCTTCATTGCATTTGGAAATCTCATGAATAAGTCATTCCAGTTGGCCTTTTTCTGTGTGGATTGCAGCACGACGTTGAAATTTTTAGAATATTCGAAGCATTCTCTGAGGACAATCTCTTCAAACTATTTCTTCACTCAAGTCTTATGGCCTTGCACCAGACATATCCTTGATAGACTGGATCTTCACACAGTATCTCAAATATAACTACTTGATCTGGCCTGTCTGGTCTGGGATGTATTTTGCAGAGATGGGGAGGAATTTTTATTGAGAAGTAGGTTAGGAATTCACAAAGTACATGAAGGCATTTTCCTGCAGATAGACTTTATTCATACAGGACAGTTTCTAACTGAATTGGCAGAGGAAAGCTGTTCAGCTGTATCACAGCCACTCAGAGGAGCACCAGTAAATGGACTTAGGTCTTTGTGTTTATAGTGAAGGATATTTAAGAAGGAGACAAGAAAAATAGCACTGCTTTGAATAGCTAATCTTCATAACAAACAAATTAATTGAAGTATAAAAAAGTATTTTTGATAACATCATTTTTTCCCTATGTAAGCAACATGGAGGAAAGTTGGAAAAATCACCCAAAATCAAGAGATGAAAACAGCTGATTTTGAATTGTGATTGAAATAAAAAATGAATAATATTGACATTATTATTTAAAAATATTTTGTAGGGACAACCATTTTACAAAGGAAAAAGTGCAAGTGGCTAGTTCATACTTCATAATTTGGTGTGAACAGCTGAATTCAGTAACATTTTAAAACATTTTTTTTTTAAAAAAAACAGTGGTTGGTTGTACCCAATTATATAAGCATCATTCTTAAATATGACATTCCAGACAAGGCTTTAGTTGCACAAACAATTTTTCCACTTATATCTAGTAAAAAAGTAGGTTGATTTCTTTTTTTTTTGTGGTTAGCCTCTGATATTCTATTTTTTTTTAAATTAAATCTTTGTTGTTCAGATTATTACAGTGGTTCCTCTTTTTTTCCCCATAGCTCTCCTCCACTCGGTTCCCACCCCACCCTCCGCCCTCACCCCCCACCACTGTCCTCATCCATAGGTGCACGATTTTTGTCAAGTCTCTTCCCGCATCCCCCACACCCTCCCCCCCCAAGAATAGTCAGTCCACTCCCTTTCTATGCCCCCGATTCTATTATAATCACCAGTTTATTCTGTTCATCAGATTACTCACTTGATTTTTAGATTCACTTGTTGATAGATGTGTATTTGTTGTTCGTAATTTGTATCTTTACCTTTTTCTTCTTCTTCCTCTTCTTAAAGGATATCTTTCAGCATTTCATACAATACTGGTTTGGTGGTGATGAACTCCTTTAGCCTTTTCTTATCTGTGAAGCTCTTTATCTGACCTTCAATTCTGAATGATAGCTTTGCTGGATAAAGTAATCTTGGTTGTAGGTTCTTGGCATTCATCACTTTGAATATTTCTTGCCACTACCTTCTGGCCTGCAAAGTTTCTGTTGAGAAATCAGCTGACAGTCATATGGGTACTCCCTTGTAGGTAACTGACTGTCTTTCTCTTGCTGTTTTTAAGGTTCTCTCTTTGTCTTTTGCTCTTGGCATTTTAATTATGATGTGTCTTGGTGTGGTTCCCTTTGGATTCCTTTTCTGGGGGGTTCTCTGCGCTCCCTGGATTTGTAAGTCTATTTCTTTCACCAGGTAGGGGAAGTTTTCTGTCATTATTTCTTCAAATAGGTTTTCAATATCTTGCTCTCTCTCATCTTCTGGCACCCCTATAATTCGTATGTTGGTATGCTTGAATCTGTCCCAGAGGCTCCTTATGCTATCTTCGTATTTTGGATTCTTTTTTCATTTTGCTTTTCTGGTTGGGTGTTTTATGCTTCTTCGTATTTCAAATCGTTGACTTGATTCTTGCAATTCTCTAGTCTGCTGTTGGGAGTCTGTATAATATCCTTTATTTCAGTCAGTGTATGCTTAATTTCTAGTTGGTCCTTTTTCATAACCTCGAGGGTCTCACTACATTTATTGGCGGTCTCACCAGACTTTTTGAGTGTCTTACTAAATTTATCGGCGGTTTCTAGAAAGTTCTTGAAAAACCTTAAAAGTGTGGTTTTGAACTCTATATCCAGTAGTTTGCTTTCCTCCATTTCTGTCATTTGTGTCCTGTTTCTTTGTCTCCGCATTTTTTATGCTTCCCTGTGTTGATAAAGTGGTTTTCTGTGCTAAGTGTCCTCTAGGGCCCAGTGGTTCAGCCTCCCCAATTACCTGAGGTGGACACTCTTGGTGCACCCCCTTGTGGGCTTTGTGCACAGTCTTGTTGTAGTTAAGCCTTGCTTGTTGTAAGTATCACTGAGAGGAATTGACCTCCAGGCTAACTGGCTGTGAGAATCAGCTGTGTCTGCAGTGGGAGAACTTCTGTGCTGGAAACACCCCTCCGGGGCAAGACTTGCTTCAATGGGGATTTGGTGCTCACTGAGTCTGCCCCCTGAGTGTGTCCTTTATGGATCCAAGGAGCTGCAATCTGAATGGTTCCACTCTGACCACCGGGCACACTGGCGCCTGGATCTCTAAGGAGGTGCTAATCTAGCCTCTGCCTGAGGCTACCCAGCAGGAGCTCAGCTGTGAAGCAATGCAATTTGCCATGGGGCCTTCAGCCTGCTGCAAGTTTGTTAGATAATTTTTAGTTTGCAAAGGGCCAGGCCTTTCATATGCAAAAGCTGGCACACAGCTTGGGTGGGGCAGGGGTCCCAGGGGATCAACAGGGCGGAGCAAGCAGCTATGGCTACCCTCAGAGGCCCCACTTCTCAGTGTCCTGGCAATCGCTGCAAGCACCTCCGAGAGAAAGCTGCCCTCGAGTTCCGACCGATGCCAGACAGTCCAGTTTCTCCCGTATGAGTCTGGGTCCCCAAAGACTCACCCGGAACTGGAGCTCAGAGTTTGAGACTCCCTACCAATTGAAAAAGACAACCGTGTCCTCAGCCGTCAGCCCTCTCCGCGTGCGCCTCCGTACCTCTGTACTTTACTTCCGCACCGCAGCTCCTCTGAGTCTCGGTATGCTTTTCTCTTTCCTTCTAGTTGTAGAATTTCCACTCAGCCAGCCTTCCTGTGGTTCTGGATGATGTCTGTTCCGTCTTTTAGTTGTATTCTTGAAGTGGTTGTGCTAAGCAGCAATCTCCGGTGTTTACCTATGCTGCCATCTTGGTTTTCCTAGCCTCTGATATTTTAGAGTGCAACTATTCTCTAGGTTGATTCTTATTGAACCTATGCAAATATATTGCCATTTAAAAGTAAAAATATTTGATAAAAGTTTCTGAATTTGGGAGAGTGAGTTAGGCAGGGAGAATAAGATATCACTTAAAGGCTTCAGCTTCCAGGCTGCCTGTGGAGCATGTCTTCGAAGAACAGAAAACCATCCAAGCAGAGCTCCGACCGGGGTTCGTCCCCACCCTCCATGGCTCGCTCTCTGGCCTCGGCTGCTTGTCCCGAAGCTGGCTTCGCGGCAGCGACTGGGACCCTGGTGGTGATCAACCTAGAAAAGGATGACAAAGTTCCTAAAAAGTTCCAGAATTCCCTTGTTCAACTCGGACTTGGCACTATGAAGTCTGCAAATATAAGTATTGGTGGAAGAGTGCTGCTTACCAGTTTACATGGAAAACAAGAGTGACAAAAATGTGGATATTAATGAAGAACAATTGGCTGATTGTCTTCTGAGAAAACTAGATGGCAAGATTGTTGTACCAGGCAACTTTCTATACATTACATTCTATCTACGACCATGCATGTTGAAAGTGTTGCGAGTGAAAGGTGCAGATGGCATGATACTGAGAAGGCTTCAGAGCGACTCTGATACTGATGCTCAGGGAATGTCCTCAAAACGGTCCAGCATAGGCGCCAGTAGCCTTGATATGTCCTTACAGTTAAGCCAGTTGGATCTGGAAGAGCCTCGGGTCCCACCACCAAGCAGTACTCCCTGCAAACCAGTAGATGACAGAAAGATAAATAAAACTGGTGGCAGTTTGTCAAATGTCACACAGAGTCCTGGTGGCAGCAGTGGGCTTGGGCCAGAGGAAGTTACAGGTCTTGAATGTAGCTTTGCGTCTGCCAGAGGAGGAAATGAGTACCTTATCAATGAAGAGAGATTCCTAAAGCCAGCCAATCTGGGAGCAAAGTGCAACACTGATACTTTCTACTTCACTTCTTCAACAACGAGAGTTAATTTTACAAATATTGGTACAAATTCAAAAGAGCAAGACAACCAGTTCAAAGTAACTTACGACATGATAGGAGGCTTAAATGGTCAGCTGAAAGCAATTAGAGAAATAATTGAACATCCTCTCAAGCAGCTTGAACCATCCAAGAGTTACGGAATTCCTCCCTCTACAGGAGTGTTACCGTATGGCCCTCCAGGTACTGGAAAGACAGTGATTGCCAGGGCTATTGCTAATGAAGTTGGAGCCTATTGTCTCTGTAATAAATGGTCCTGAAATTATAAGAAAATTCTATGGGGAAACTGAAGCAAGGTTACATCAGACATTTGCTGAAGCCACTCTGCGGCGTCCATCAATTATTTTTATTGATGAACTGGGTGCACTCTGCCCAAAAAGAAGGGGCTCAGAATGAAGTGGAAAAAAGAGTTGTAGCTTCACTGCTAACACTGATGGATGGTATTGGTTCAGTGGGAAGTGAAGGACAGGTATTAGTTATTGGGGCCACAAATTGTCCTCATGCTTTGGATGCTGCACTCTGCCGATCTGACGATTTGGTAAAGAGATTGAGATTGGAGTTCCTAATGCTCAGGACCGGCTAGATATACTTCGGAAACTGCTTCGAAAGGCACCGCATGTACTCACGGAAGCCGAGCTGCTACAGTTAGCAAACAATGCACACGGATACGTTGGAGCAGACTTGAAAGCCTTGTGTTGTGAATCAGGTCTCAGTGCCTTCCGGAGAGTCCTGAAGAAACAGCCTAACCTCCCTGACCGCAAGGTGGCTGTGTTGGTGAAGATTACTCTGAATGATTTCTTGCAGGGAATGAATGACCTCAGGCCCAGTGCCACGAGGGAGGTTGCAGTTGATGTCCCAAGTGTATCATGGTCAGATAGAGGAGGACCGGAAAATATCAAACTGAAATTGAAACAGGCTCTGGAATGGCCCTTGAAACATCCGGAGTCTTTCACCCAAATGGGTATTCAGCCGCGTAAAGGAGATCTTCTGTACGGGCCACCTGGTTGCTCTAAAACGATGATTGCAAAGGCTTTGGCCTATGAAAGTGGACTGAATTTTCTAGCAATAAAGGGGCCTGAATTAATGAATAAATATGTTGGTGAATCTGAAAGAGCTGTTAGAGAGATCTTCCGCAAAGCGAGAGCGGTGGCTCCTTCCATTATTTTCTTTGATGAACTGGATGCCTTAGCAGTTGAAAGGGGCAGTTCTTCAGGTGCTGGGAATGCAGCTGACCGTGTTTTGGCTCAGCTCCTTACGGAAATGGATGGCATTGAACAGTTAAAGGATGGGACTGTTTTGGCAGCTACTAACGGCCCAGATAGGGTAGACAAGGCTTTGATGCGTCCTGGAAGAATCGATAGAATCATCTATGTGCCGTTACCAGATGCAGCAACAAGGAAGGAAATATTTAACCTGCAGTTTCACTTGATGCCAATCAGTCAGGATGTTGATCTGAATGAACTCATCTTCCAAACGGACACATATTCTGGAGCAGAGGTCATTGCCGTCTGTGAAGAGGCCACCCTTCTGGCACTAGGAGAAGACATTGAAGCCAAATGCATCAGGAAAAAACATTTCACTCAAGCCTTGAGCACTGTGACACCCAGAATTCCCGAGTCACTGAGACGTTTCTATGAAGATTATCAAGACAAGAATGGGCCCTAACCGGTTTGGCTCAGTGGATAGAGCATCAGCCTGCGGACTGAAGGGTCCCAGGTTCGATTCCAGTCAAGGGCATGTACCTTGGTTGCAGGCACATCCCCAGTAGGAGGTGTGCAGGAGGCAGCTGATTGATGTTTCTTTCCCATCGATGTTTCTAACTCTCTATCCCTCTCCCTTACTCTCTGTAAAAAATCAATAAAATATATTTAAAAAAAGATATCACTTAAAAATTTTCCATTTCAGTGCACAAAACCAGAATCTAATAAATTGTTGTTATAGATAACCTAATAAGAGAAAGGGCTTCCTTATATGTCCAGGAAATAGAAAATTAAAACAACATCAACAATATTCCAAATAGCCACAATCATCTCATGAGTTCATTCAGTCCTATGTAATCAATTCTTGTTCTGCTGGACCTCGGATTAGCAGAATCATGAACATGAACTCATTGGTGTCTTGACTCAAAAGTGTTTTGGAAATACACTTTTTCAGTGGACTCTGCCCACTGAAAGTTGTTTAAGCGACATCAGAAACCTGTACCAAGATCTCGTCTTCGAAGTGTCAATAGTTTGAAGGACCAGGTACAGTCTTTTTCCATGGGCTCTGAGACTATGCTTCTTTGTGAAGATGTGAATTCTGGCTTGTAGCTGAATGCAGAGGCTTCAAGGGAACATTGAGTAATACGAAAACTATCTGTAGATGCTAAAGACTTAAAATGACTGGTAATAACTGAAGAGGGTTCATAACAAGAATGATACAACTGACAAGAAAAGTCGGTGGTTTCTGTGTAATGTAAAGGAAAGCTAACACAAATCAGTCTTTAGACACAATGTCAGTATGGATAATGATTAAGGATATTTTCAAAGATGGTGAATATTACATCTGGTTTATAATAATAAATGAACATACTTTTTACAGAGAAAAATTAAGATATATAAAATTCCTGTTATACTATATATATATACACATATATATGTATATATGTGTATATATACACATATATATATACACATATATGTATATATGTGTATATATACATATATATATCATATATCCTATATATATCCTTTATTATATATCCTATATAATAAAGAGCTAATATGCAAATAGTCATCACGCCCTCACACCATCACATCATAACGGCTCAGACACTCAACACTAGGGAGAGAGGAATGGGGACCAGCCAGGCACAAATGAGCTTGCAAGAGAGGAATGGGGACCAGCCAGGCTGTGGCCCAAGGAGAGGGACAAGCCACCCGCCCTGCAGTCCTGGGTGCCAGTGCCTGTGGCTATGGCCTTGGAGAGGGACAAGACACCCACCCCGGGGTCCTGGGCGTCTGCAGCTGGCCTGAGCAAAGCTGGCTCAGGTCCTGGGTACCTGTGGCCAGCCAGAGGGAGGGAAGTCCAGGTCCCGGGTGCCTGTGACCAGCTGGAGGAGGGAATCCTGGGTCCTGAGTGCGGGGTGAGGCAGAGGTGTTTAGGGGCGATCAGGCCAGCAGGGGAGCAGTTAGGGGTTATCAGGAAGGCAGGAAGAGGTGGTTAGGGGCAATCAGGCAGCCAGGCAGGTTAGCAGATAGGAGCCAGTGGTTCCAGATTGCAAGAGGCAGTCGGACATCTCCGACGGGTCCCGGATTGGAGAGGGTGCAGGCAGGCTGAGGGACACCCCCTCCCATGCATGAATTTCACACACCGGGCCTCTAGTCTACAACAATAAAAAGATAATATGTTAATTAGACCAAACATCCTTCCAGGCATCATTCTGGACGTCCTTCCTGATGAAGCCGAGGCTGGAGCAAAGCAGCCCGGGTCCCGGATGCCTGCCAGTGGTGACCAGAGTGAAGCCTGGGTCCCAGGTGCTGGAGGGAAGCCAGTGCCGGCAGCCAGGGGAAGGAAGGCCTACTCTTGTACAAATTTTCATGCATCGGGCCTCTAATATATATATATACTTCAGGGAGGTAAAAATGAAAAGTTGTCAGGAGATTTGAACACTTAAGATAAGATCATGGGTTCCTAAGACACAGTAGTTGGCTCCATTTGAAAGTGACAATAGGACATCTAAAAATAAGCATGAACTGTAACATGATTGTAAAGAACCTTAGCTCTTTCATAAGTGAGACTCTTTTGTTTGCTTTTTAAAAATAATCAAGAACATAATAAAGCTAACATAAAACATAGAAAATTATTCTGGTAAGAAAATTTTTTGCAATCGAGAACTTTTCATATGATAGGTGAAGGCAAATAAACAGCAAACCAAGGAAACTAGGCCATCAAAAACTGAGCAAACTTGGTTAAGATTTTAACACATTTCATAGTTTTCCCTCTGGTTTTTTAAACCACGGCAAATAAAAGTAGAACGGTGGCTTGTCAGGGTCTGGGGTGAGGGTAGGGGGATGGAGCTATTGTTTATAAAAGTCAGCTCCCCTGGCGCTGAGAGCACTCTTTCTCTTTCCAGAGAAGACTGCATTTCCTGGGCTGAGCTGAACCCCCAAAATGCCTCCCAGAGCAGAGTGGGACAGACCAGCACAGGGCAAAGCAGAGTGGCATGGAGCAGAGCAGAGCTGACCAGTGAGGAGCTGAGCAGAGCTGTCTAGCTAGAGAGGCCTGGCCCCAGGGCCGCCTCATAGCTGTGCTGTTTTCACACCGGTGCCAGTGCCGTATCACAACTGAGCTGTTTTGCACTGAATAAAGTGTTCTTCTTCACCACACCCCAAATTGGGGATTCTTGTTGGCGGTTTGAATTGGCACCAATGACCATCGGTTCGCTGACAACATAAAACCCTGAGAGCTGTTACTTTAGGAGAAAACATTTTTTTTTTCTTCTTGAAAAACAAGCATTTACACAATTGTATTTCTCTGTTGGTCCTTAATATAGCCCCAACCACTAATATAAATTATAACTTTTAACTAAAGCAACTTCTATTTCACAGAGAAAACTGGGGCATGGGAAAAGTAGAGGATAATTGTGAACTCTGCCATATACCAGCTTTTCAGTTTTTTAATAGATTAGCATGGCTAATAAATACATATAACATCTTTTCATAGTCACACACCTTCTAGCACAACTTATCAAAGTGGCCAAAGTGAACACTTTTTTTTTTTTTATTAACAGACGCAAAGAGTCTGCAGTGTATAAATATAAAAATCACAAACATAAAAGTGTGCTTAGTAATTAATGCTTCAGTATTCTATTTACTTAGAAATAACTTTGCTTAACTCAATTTTGATATCAGCTTAAGGTTTTAAAACTTATCTAAACCTCTTAGAAATTATCTGTAAGCTGACATACTACAAAATTAAATTACTGTTGAAATAAAGTTTTCAGAATAATGATTCATTAGTTAAACACAAATTTCCATTTTTCCTATTCTTAAGCAGTAGGAGTAATGTTAACTTATTTAGTTAGTAAACCTATATACATTTAGAAAAAAACATATATACATAGAATATTGTTAAGAATTATACTTAACACAAATAAATCAGAGAAAATACAGCTGTTTTTATCAAACCCCAAATATTAAACTAGTTTCATTTTCCAGAGATATGCTTAAATTTGTGAACCTGAATTCTAAAATGTTAATTGGGTTTGTTTCTGTAAGAACATTTTATTAATGTAGCACATTTAAAGACGTAGAAGCTCAATTTTACCACTTCTGGGAATTTAGGAATAGTCACTTTATTTAAATACTTATTTATCTCTGTCAGCCAATCAGAGAAGAACTCCTTTAGCATGAAACTTTATAATCAAATTAATTAATACCCTATGGAGGTAGGTGGATGTTACACATTCACACAATGAAAGAGAAAGGCCTTTCTAAACTACAGACACATGGGCACACAGAGACAGAGTTTGTAGTTTCAGTCCTAAAATTTCATTTCAGTCATAGAATAAGAGTAAATACAGAAATATCAAATCTCCCCAGTCCTGGTATGAAAGACTTGTTTTCCTTCCCAGTGGGCACAGGATTCCTAATTGATTTGGGTTCAAAATAGACAATAGGACTAACAATCCAGATTCTTCTCTAGCTCCCATCCAACAGAGACTAGATTTCTATAGCCCATTTACAGAAGTCACCAAATGGTCAGTCCATACAACCAACTTCTCAGTCATGGCTGCCGCTGATGAGTATTGGCTATAAATGAACCCAAACCCAAACCCAAAACAAGACATATTAGTAGAGAGGAAAAAAGACACTAAGGGTACGAATGTACAGAGGAAAACCTTGTGAGAACAGAACAAGACGACAGCCATCTGCAAGCTAAGGAGAGAGGCCACAGAAGAAAACAATCTTGTCAACACCTTGATCTTAGACTTCTAGTCTCCAGAACTGTGAGAAAATAAAATTTTGTTGTTTAAGTCAAAGAAAAAAAAAAGGGTGAGTAGAGAGAAAAATTAAAATTCAAAAAATAGCAAAGATCCTTTGTCATTTTGGATTCACTTCTGGGAGCCAAGAAGCAGTGAGCATCCAGCCAGTGTGGCTCAGTGGTTGAGCACTGACCTATGAACCAGGAGGTCACGGTTTGATTCCTGGCCAGGGTACATGCTCAAGTTGTGGGCTTGATCCCCAGTGTGGGGTGTGCAGGAGGCAGCTGATCAATGAATGATTCTCTTTCATCATTGATGTTTTTTTTTTCTCTCTCTCTCTCCCTCCCTCTTTTTCCCTGAAATCAATAAAAATATACTTTAAAAAAAAGCAGCAATAAGCCAAGATGAGATGTGTCCAGGCTTAAGCAGCCTGTAGGAGGTGTACTCTCTGGTGACCAGGTTGACCAGGCTCTGTCAAATGAATCCATGGGCATCTTGGTGGAAGACCTCCAAAACTTTTTTTTAAAAAATAAATCTTTATTGTTCAGATTATTACAGTTGTTCCCCTTTTATCCCCCAAAGCTCCCCTTCACCCATTTCCTACCCCACCCTCTGCCCTTACCCCCCCACTGTCCTCATCCATAGGTGTACGCTTTTTGTCGCCGGGTCAATGGTCATACACATGGAAAATGTAGCTATTTCTATCTGCAACGTGT